CGCCAGCCATATATTTCGGCGTCTGGGTAGTTTTGCAGAGCCCCCCGCGCTCGCGTGTCTGTGTGTACATACAGCAACCCCTACACGCACAGCGTGTTCTGCATACTTGTGTACGTACAGACAAAGCCGAACATAATTCTGGCCGCTGTTTAGACAGTTTGGATGACGGAGTGGTCTTTCGCTTCCTACACAAAAGTGCGAGGGAAAAGCTGGGCACCGGTCGAGCAAAGAGCACGAAGAGGATTCGGAAGAAAATGCCTTTTTGGAGGGCAGTTCCACCCCCCTGGAAAAAGCCCCACAGCCCTCTCGTGTCTTTTCAGAGTCTAGGGCTAAGAAAAAAATGAGGCCAAATTTAATGTGAAAATGGAGGACGGCTGAAAGAAAGGAGCACCTTCGCCACCGCGACCAGAATTAAGGCATCGTAAAGGGGACTGAAAAAGTATTAAGGAAATGTTAATCCTTTGGCTGGTTGGGACTCCAGCTTTGCGCGAATTTGTCTCCAGTAAAGGATCTAAGACTTCTTCAATCGGAGCATATGTTCATAGAGCAATAAAACAGAAAGATTTACAGTCTCCGCCCGCCCCCCAGCAGCCTCGCACCCTTTCAGGAATTACTTATGATGATTTATAACAACAACTCCGGCAATTGTCAAACTGATAAAATAGCCCGGGCTATATGCGGGAATAAACGCTCTTATGAAAGGGCTGCGATTTATGTTCGGGTCCATTTTACTGCGTGTCTTGGTGGAGTTTGGTTTCTTTCCCGGGCCAACAGGATAATATAAAACTTCATTGATAAAAATGTAGGAGTTCTCGTGAAGTAGCAAATCTGTTCCTTAGTCACTACCAAAGCACATAAACATTTGTCATCTTTGAATAATTGAATTAATGTGTTATTGTTTGAATGTATAATTCATAACATAGGAAACTTTGTCTCTGTCCTGCCACCGAAACGGAAGCAATAAAAAGCTACAATCTAGGGGTTTTTAGAAATGACTCCAGCAAGGGATAATAAAGAATATCCTGTTTGCAGAAAGTATTTCCAGCTGACTCCAGGATTTCACAGAGAAATCTCAGCCTCCTTGTCCACATTCTGTGGAGCTGTAGCTTTATATAAAAACACAAATCCGATTTCCCCCTGGTCTGGGCTATTGATCCGAGACTTGAAAGGCGGCGTGCCCGCTTCGGGGGCTGAATGTGCCCAGGGTCCTCCGCGACCCCACACCGGGCGGCGAGGCTCGAGCGGGGACAGCCGGGGGCCGGGGCCGGAGCGGCCCGGAGCGGGCAGGGCGGCCGGGACTGGAGCGGGCAGGAGCGGGCAGGGCGGCCGGGGAGGGGGGCGGGGGGCCAGGGC